TAGATGAGGGGTGGTCACCTTTTGTCAGGGTCCGAGGCCGGTCTTTTACCGAGGGCCGGGTTGGGAGGTTTTGAGAAAAGATTTTCAAAATCCATTCCTCAAGCGAGCGGTCCTCCACTCACCAGTGCCGAGCTTCAGGGTGAAACCGCACGCGTGCACAGGTATCCGCGTACTACGCAGGGCCGCACTCGCTGCACGCGCACGCGCTGCCCCGCCTCCCGAGACTCCGCCCCCGCCTGCTCCGCCCCCCGCCTACCGCAGGCGCAGTCCTTCTTGCGTAGCTCTCTACGTAGTTTTATCTATCATGGCAGCGATCTAGCCTAATTTTGTTTTGTTTTTGGTACTGGGAATCGAACTTGGATCCTTGTGCTTGCAAGGCAGGCGGCAGAACCACTGAGCCAAATCCCCAGCATAGCCTAATTTTTAAAAATCTAGTAGAACTTGTAAATCTAATCCTTAGGATTCGCCTCCTTCTGGTGAAAACTCTTAAATCGCGATCAGAGTATTTCTAAGGGATGTTAGCAACATCTCACATTGATTTGAGCATGCCGCCAGCAATATTTTAGAAGTGTTTCAAAATTTAGCTGATTCAATCCTAGCAACTGCTCTGTAAGGTACTGTTACCATTCGCATTTTTCAAATGAATAAACCGAAGTGTAGACAGGTAATGTGACTTGTAGGGTCTCTACAATTAGGAAATAAGTTAATAATTGAGGCAGGAAAGTTTGTTTAATTAAAAGTATCAAGTGCGAAGAGGATGGGGACAGCACATGCGGCTGAGAAAACTTTCAAGGGGTGGATTTGAGTTCAGTCGTGATATAATTTCCACAGGAATGGATGAAGTTGGGAGGTAAATGGTCATCAGTTTTAAGAAGGCAGCAAAGGAAAGCATGTTTGGAAAACAGAATGTTCAATTTTGCTTAGTATGAAGCCGAATAAGGGAATATGTAACAGAAACTGCAGGTTGGTCCAATGGTAGAGAACCTGACTTGCTCCTGTAACTTAAAGGATTGATTCCTAGCACTCATCAGTGTGCACTCCACTGCAGAGTCAAGACAATTGTTTGCAGCCAGACATCTCCTCCAGGGAAATTCTACTTTCTGTGTTTATAGTGTAGGCAATCACTTTCTTTTGTAATTGAATTGTTACTAAAAATTAAAAGAAAAATTCAGGTAATAAAAACCAATAGTATCTCCTCTTCAGAGGGAAGAACTATATTATACAACTTGAATCATTGTTTTTCTCATTAAAAAAAAAGCCCAGCACACAGCAAAGTGATAGATACAAAAGGAAATGAGATTCTCTCCGTATTATTATAAGCGACCCCTAAGGAAAACGTTTACTTCCTATCCCCACAACTTTGGATTCTGCTGACTAGAGCAAGCTTTTTCAACTTCAGCAATATTCTTGGGTTCGGATAAGGTGAGTCGTGCATCAGGGGATGTTAGGATGTTTAGCAACATCCCTCGCCTTTACCACTAGGTGTCAGTAGCACCTGCTCCCCAGGCTTCACACGTCGCTGAAAATCGTGGTGGTGGTGGTGGTGGAGAGCGGTTGAATTCCAAAAGTAGGAATGCTTCCATCAATGGGCCTGGCAAACTCACTGTGAAGCTTTAAGTTGAAACTGTCATTTGGCCACTTAGGGCTCAGTTCAGTGAATCAACAGGTAAATAAAGGATTTACTATCCTGGCAGGGGTAAGTTATCCTGACTACATAATGAAGTGAAGGAAGAATAGGTCTAGAAAGCAGGTAATTTCTTGGGTAGGACAGAGCTATATTCTTTGATTAAACATTCCCACCGCAGGCATTACTAGTAGTTGTCCAAATGGTTTACCCACCACACAAGGAGACAGAACCAATTGAGAGCAAAGAAAACATGGCAAAAGGTATAAGGTAGTTATACAATACCAGTTATAATCACATGACCAGAAGCAAAATGACTGTGAGAGGAATATTTCATGTTTAATGTGATATAAATCTTGCATACTCAAATACATGTGTGGAAGTGGAATCGTGTTGTGTAACAATGCTTTGGTTGGGGATAGACTGCCTAACTGATAGTAGTTCCATAAGATTATTGAAGAAGCTGGGGCTGGGGATTTAGCTAGTGCTTCTGCCACCTGCCTCACAAGCACAAAGTTCTGAGTTCTATCCTTGATACCAAAAAAAAAAAAAAAAAAGATTATTGAAGAAGCTGAAAAATTCTCTATTGCCTAACGACCTTGTCGCCATTGTAACATCATAGCACAATTATGTTATTACTGTTCATGGTGATACTGGTGTAAAGAAAGCTTCTGTGCTTCCAGGTGCATAAAAATATAGCATATACAGTTATGCAATTCTGGAAACAGTACAATATGCAATTCTGGAAAATGATAATATGACTGACCAGTAGATTTGTATATTTTACTATACTATACTTTTTATACTCTTACTTATGTAAAAAAAAAAGTGCTCTTTAAATCAGTATGCTATGTTATACCAGCAGCAGCCTCATACATCTCATCTCTGTAAATTTATAGTGACCTTCACCCAAAGATGAAGCTGCCTAATAATATACTTCTCAGAATGTAGTCTTGTCATTAGTGATACACAATTGCATTTCCCTATCTATCCATCCATTCAAATTTTCCCTTTTCTCATTCCTCTGCCATCTACCACAGGATTTTATAGTAGCTAACTTTATATCTTATTATTTAAGGTTTATGCTATGAAAGGAGACATGAGCCTAACCTAACAGACAAACTAAAAGAGAAATAAATATCACTCAAAGGTAGAAAATAGACTTTTAAAAAATTATTTTTAAGATGAAAATAAAGTGTTTGTAGATGGGGAGGGGAGGAGGGGGTGAAGGGAGGGCAGAGGTAAGGGGAAAAAATGAGAATCAAGACCTGTCATGTAGAGGTACAAGATCCCAACAATGAATGTAACTGTACTGTATTCCTAAAATGTACCAATAAACTCAATTAAAGCTGAAAAAAAATTCTTTTTAGGGGAAAGTTTAGTTTTTTTGTTCGTTTCTTTTCCTTTTTTTTTTTTTTTTTTTGGCTCCAGGGATTGAACTCAGGAACTTGAATTTGTGAGGCAGGTGGTGGTACCATTGAGCTAATTCCTCAGCCCAGGTAAGTTTTTTTTTTAATCAGGATAGTTTGATCATGTGAGGCAGAACTATGATTTTGTTATCTTTATTTGGAAGTTCAGTATAGATTAAAGAGGAACACATGGGTGCCTAGTTGAAAAGTAAATAGTTGGTGATTTTGAAATATGTTTTCTTGGCTAGGCCAAACTGTGTTTTCCAGTATTCTTGTCCTCTATTGTATGTTTAGGGAGGGCCATAAAAAAGATTTTGCACAAAATTCGGAAGGTAGAAGCAAAATAGTAGCTGTATTGTTTTTTTACATACATTTGATTGGTGAGAGGCAATAAATGCTATTGCAATCATGCATGTTGTCGTCTGATGGTTTACCTTGTTGATATGGCAAAAAGCAGACCTGCATTGATAATCCACCCCAGGTCCTCCCTCAGTCTTCATATTCTGGTATGTACTTAGCTCCACGGTAAAGAACGTAAGATTTTCCTATACAATATCTAACCATAAAAAAATCAGACAATGTGAGAAACTAGGTTCCAATTTGTCTTGAGGGATTCTATTTTGAGCTCAATCTACCCAACTTGATATCCATTCCTAAAATTGTGCTTTGCAGAATGTAGCTGCAGCATCAGAAAAGAGCTGTACAGAGACTGTTAAATAGCTCCCAAAACTGTGCAAAGCCAAATCTGTATAAATCAATCAATCTATCTATGTTCTTCTGACCTAGTGGTTCTGTTTCAACCTTGAATAATAAGATGGCTTTAATAGAAGACTAAATTGGGTTGAAAATTAGTGAACTGAAAGATGTTAGAAAAAATTATCCAGAATAAATCATAGCAAGACAACTGCTCTAAAACAGCGAAGTTATAAGAGATAAATAGAAATAAAAATTATGGAAATAGAATAATTTAACAGAATAATTGCAAAACAAGAAGAGAATGAGGAAGAAGAAATGCTTGAAAAGAATTAAGACCCTCCCAGAACAGGTGGAACACAACAGTTCAGAGGTCTAGGCATTATTAATTCCTGTGTACTTGCTGGAAGCACTTGCCACTGCAGCATTTACCCTGAGACAGCTCCCAGATTGCAGTCCTAACCTTTACCCACAGTTTGCAAAGGGGAAGACTGTAGGAAAAACCAAAAAGAAAGTCTTTAGAAAGATAATAAAATCAATAAATCTCTACCAACACCGTAAAGGAAGAGCATACAAATCATCACTCATAATTGAAAAAGGGTATTTCTCTATAGACTCCACAGATAATAAAAAGGACAGTAAGTCAGTACTATGCAAAATTCTTTATGTATGAATTCAACAAATTATTTTAAATGGTCAAGTTCCACACAAACCACAAACTATTAAAACTTATCTAAGTGAGAGAAGAGACAGGTAGGGAGGGCAAGGAGAAGACAAAAAAGAATTGAGATATAGTATATAAATGTACCAACTCCCCACCATGAATGCAATCATTATATTGCATAATGCAATATAATATTTGCACTGTATTGCATATATTGTATTGCAAAAATATGCTAATTAAAATTAAAAATAAATTTGAAATCTCAACACTGAAAAACACAATTAAAAACACATAATCCTAACAGAATAATAACTACTGAAGAAACTAAATTCATAGCTTAAAATCTTCCAAAATAAGAAATCTAGGACTAGGGTGTAGCTCTATGGATAAAGCACACATTAGCATGCTTGAGGCCTGGTTCAATCCCCAGCCCAAAACAAACACACATAAAAGCAACTCTACTCAAAATAAGAAATTTCAAGGCCCATTTGGTTTTTCTAGAGAATTCTACAAACATTTAAGGAGGAAATAGTAACTCTATGTTATCTCCTACAGAAAATAAAAAAGGAACACTTCTCAAATTATTTTATAAGGTCAGCATTAACCTGATACCAAAAACAATCAAAGAGAAAAATTAACAAAAAACAACAAAAACAATCAATGAAAAATCCCCAACCTGCAGACCAATATCCTTTCTGAATACAGATTTTTAAATTTTCAACAAAACAATGGAAATCAGATCAACATTATGAAGAAAAGTGGTATTTATCCCAGGTATATAAAGTTGTTTCGGTATTTGAAAATCAATCAATATAATCAAACATGTCAAGAAT